CTGTTGGCAGGGCACAGGGGAGATCCTGTGGGGTCAGTGTTGGCCAGAGCACAGAGAGATCCTGTGATTGAGCACTGCTTGACTGAATGACGTTGAATTGTATTGGCTTGGAGCAATGATTTGTATCATGCATTGATCCAACATCTTTATTCCTGCAGAGTAATTATTTCTATCTGTACAGGGTCCTCCTGGTTTAATGGGACCAATTGGAGAGCCAGGACTTGTGGGATATCCGGTAAGTGAATATCGATCCAGGCTAAAAACATTCATCATTGATCATCAGCAAACACCAAGCAGTATTTTTTCCATTTGGAAAGTTTACCCTTGTAGAGAGTGAAGTACCAATACCTCAGTGTCATTGGGACACTAAAGGTTAACTTCTCAGTAGAGAGTTGCATCAACTAGGCTTGGATTCCCTGTAATTTAGGAGGACAAAGGATGATTACTGCAAGGTTTATAGGACCTTGAAAAGAATCAAAAAGCTGGAGGGAGAGAATGTTTCTTGTTCGGATGATGAGGGTGGAGGGCTGTAAGGAACAGGGGACATGTGTTAAAATCAGAACCAGGCCACTCAGAAGAGAAATTAGAAGCACCACCCCTTACAAACTCCCCTCCAAGCCACTCACCATCCTGACTTGGAAATATATCGCCGTTGCTTCACTGTCACTGGGTCAAAATCCTGGAATTCCCGCCATTAGGACATTGTGGGTCAACCCACAGCACATGGACTGCAGGGGGCTCAAGAAGGCAGCTCACCATCACCTTCTCAAGGGGCAGCTAGGGATGGGCAATAAATCACATTGACAGCCATCTCCCAGAAATAAATAAAAAAAACCTTGTGACCTAAATGAAGAGTGTGCAGGTTAGAGTAGGATAATAGGTTGGCACAACATCGCGGGCTGAATGGCCTGTACTGTGCTGTACTGTTCTATATTCTAAAGGGTGGGAGAAGTATAAAATTGCCTTCCACAATGTTTCTTGCAGGTTGGTCATTTTTCAATCTGAAGCCAATTCTCTTCTGTTGCTAGGACCAAGGTACTAATACAGTACCGAGCTAAAGGAATGGGGTTTGAGATATAGATCACCCATCATCTCACTGACAGACTTGGGAGGCTGACTGGCCATGTCCTGCATAATTTGGTTGTTTGGAGTGGTCTTTTATTTGAATCACAGAACCCCAGGCCTCTATCCTGTTTTACCAAATTATCTAAATCCATTGCAAGTCGACAGAACACTGGAGACTGTGACATAAACCCTGGGAGCTAGATAATCAGTGTCTGACTCCTGGAATCTGAACTAAAAATCCAAATTTGCAAACTGCAATAAATACAGGAATATCCCCCATGCACTTTTGGAGAACTATATCCATGAATTTAAACAAATGATGCATTTTACTTATTAAAATTTGATTATGATCAGTGAAGAATAACATGGCGCATTCCACACTTGATAACCAGTTGTAACCAGGGACTTTCTGTTTGTTCCAGTTCAAGTTTGATTAATTTCTCATTCCATTCCTTAGATTTACATAACCCTACTGTTGGATTTTGACAGTAAAGGTGGGGGTATTCGTGTGCTGTAGGTCAAAAATGCACTTTTCTGACACACACACGGCTTTAATATTTGGTCTTTTAAATCAAAGTACGGCAGTGTTGGTTCAAATAAAAGCATAGAAAATAACACCAGGAATAGGCCATTCAGCCCTTTGAGCCTGCTCTGTTATTCAATATGATCATGGTTGATCATCCAACTCAATCCCCTAATCCTACTTTCACCCCATACCCTTTGATCTCATTGGGCCTAAGAACTATATCTAACTCCTTCCTGAAAACATTCAATGTTTTAGCCTTGACCACTTTCTGTAACAGAGATTTCCAGAGGCTTTATTTATAGTTTGGACATCAGAATAGCGAAGGCTAAGAGGAGACTTGGGAGAATTTTTCCAAAACATGAAGTCAGATTTAAGACTTAAAGAAGCAGAGGTTACATGAGGAAAACGATTGTACAATGAGCAGTTGGTATTTGGATATCTGGTTAGTATTAATTAGTGACTGGTCCCTCTCTGAGGGCGTGATGGATATTTGAGGATTCCCTTCACAAGTGAATTGGACAGACACTGGAAGGTAAATTTGAAGGGAGATGGGGAAAGATCTAAGGGAATGGACCCAGCTAGTTTTCTGTTTGAAAAAGATAACGCAGCCTTGATAGGCCACATGGCCTTCTCCCATGAGATAAGATTCTCTGATATGATGGTTTTTAGGCAGTTTTTACATTATTGTCCAAAAACAGTAAAAACATAAGGAGGTTTCAAAGGAATTGGGATATTCTGGTACATGGGTGACAAACTGGTAGTATGTAGTAACAACTTGTAATTAAGAAGGCTAATAAGATGGTACCCTTTATTATGAGAGGAATTGAGTGTAAAAGTGAGGATGTTATTCTTCAATGAGACAGGGCATTGGTGAGACCATGACTCGAACACTGTGCAGTTTTGGTCTCCTTATTTATGGAAGGATTTACAGAATGGACAGTCAGAGTATCTTTCCCAGGGTAGAAATGTCAATGCCTATGGGACATAGGTTTAAGGCAAAAGGGAGTAGGTTTAAAGGAGACATACGGGTCAGGTTTTTTTCACAGAGGGTGGTAAATGCTGCCAGAGGAGGAGATGGAGGCAGATGCAATAGCAACCTTTAACAGGCATCTTGACAGACATATAACAGGCTGGGAATAGGGGAACAGACCAAGTAGAGTCAAAGAATTTTTATTTAGAAAGGAGTCATGTGTCGGCACAAGTTTGTTGGGCCGTAGGTCCTGGCCTGTCTAACCTTTCCTCTTAAGGCAATTGGCTCATTCCAGGGATTAGTCCAGTAAACCTTCTCTGAACTGCTTCCAAGGTGTACATGCTGATCTCTTATGTTGGACCTTACCAAAAGCTGACTGAAAACCCAGTAAACCACATCAACTTGACTAGTTATACCCTCGCCAAGCCCATAAAGGCAGCAATCTGACACACCCTGTGTACACCTCGAATGCTCAATGCTGCAGAAACTAGAGTGTCCATCAATGGCTTTAACCTCCAACTTCACAGGCCTGCTGTTTGCAACGCTCTCCACACCGAACCCTCGATGGTCAAGGGACAATCCTTTTTATAACTGCTTAAAGACCAATCAATTTTTACCTTCGACCTTAACTATACCATTCATGCGATTTTATTAATCTCTGGCAACATCCTGAAAAAGCTTTATACACTCTCCAAAGTGATGCCTTTATTAAATTCATTCATGGGATGAGGGTGTTGCTGGCTAGGCAGCATTTACTGCCCATCTCAAATTGTCCAGAGGGCAGTTAAAAGTCAACTACAATGTTGTGGGTCTGGAGTCACATGTAGGCCAGACCAGGTAAGGATGGCAGTTTCCTTCCCTAAAGGACATGTGTGAACCCGATGGGTTTTTATGAGTTTCTTAATTCCAGATCTGTCTTGATTTTAAATTCCATTGTCAGCAATGGCAGGAGTTTCCCCTTCCCATCTACCCCATTCCCTCTCATAAACTAGGGTGATTAAAATGAGACTGGGAGATTACTGCAAGTTTAACAGCTCTTTGTGGTACTGCAGGTGGTAATTCCTCCACAGAATCCATACAGTGTGGAAACAGACTATTCGGCCCATTGAGTCCACATCAACTCTCCAAAGAGCATCCCACCCACACTCGCCCTCCTACCCACTCCCTGTGACCCTGCATTTCCCATACCTAATCCACTGAGCCATACATATCCTTGAACACTATGGGCAATTTAGGATGGCCAATCCACCTAACCTGCACATCTTTGGACTGTGGGAGGAAACGGGAGCACCCGGAGGAAACCCATACAGACACGAGGAGAATGTGCAAACACCACACAGACAGGCGCCCAAGGGTGGAAGTGAACCTGAGTCCCTGGCGCTGTGAGGCAGCAGTGCTAACCACTGAGCCACCAGGCTGCCCCTTCCTCCTCTAGGTGGTGAACTCCTCCCTTCCTCCTGTAGGTGGCGTTCTCCACACCAACTTCAAACATTACTAGTTCTCACTAGACGGAATTAGTCCTTACCACTCTTCAGCTGAGTGAGTCTCAGTCCTGGATCGTTGTGGACATTCAGTTAGCTTTTATTTAGCCTGGTCACAGAAATCCTCGAAACAGACAATGTGTTTTTCTTCCAGGGTCATCAAGGGCCATTGGGACCTCAAGGACCCCCAGGACCAAAGGGGGAGAAGGTAACTCTTTAGCGTTGTGTTAGCAGTCAGCATTGTCAAGATTGTGTCCCACTTGCTGAACGTTCGTACTCTGAAAGGATTTCTAGCAGAAAATTAAACATTTTGCTCAGCTGTTTGAATTTTTGAGTTTAACTTCCTAATTTTCATTAATCTCCCACAAGTATGGTAAAGGATTGTAATAAATTTTTACTTGGAAACAAGTTGTGCCATGGAGGAAAAAATTGAATTTTATTTTTGGTTATATTAAGGTCTGGCGTGCTTTTTTTTAACCAAGTTCAGAAAGCAATTTTGAACAGTGGGTTCTAAAAAGAGCATTTTCAAGAAATCCTGTGACTTTCAATAAGTGAAAACAAGCCACTTGGGGAAGTCAGGTTCGCTAACTTGAGTTTTAAAACCCAGAGGGAGAGGGAGAGGAACACAGTCACAAGTTCATTCTGAATGAAAAGGTCTGGAGCAGGCAGAGGTGCTGTAGTTCAGTGGTGTCCACAGCAGTCAGGGTGGAAAGAAAGAAGCCCTAACTTACTTAGAGAGTAACTTTGGAAGCAGAACGCTGTAGCGGTGTCAGGGAGGAAAGACATCCTACAATGTTGTTGAAGATGTGAGTTTAAGGAACCCATTAATAATAAATAATAATTAATAAAAATAGCCATTAATAAACACATAGAACTCAACCCCATATACATTCCACTATGGAGGAAACCTGAGGCATCCAAACTCATTCTGGGGCTAAAAAGCTTGAATCTTTCTTTCTGATATTCGTCATGAGTTTATTCCAATAGCTGTTGTGATGTCTGATGTAATATGGCTCATGATTTTTATGAAAGAAAAGCATTTCTATTCTTTTGTTGAAAGTACATTGGCAGCCTCTTGTGAATTTGTTGAGTGACTGACCGTCCCTCCCCCATGGTGAACAACAGAGAAAAGTAAAACTTCTCTGCTATTGAGCCAGGTTTCATTCTGGAATCTGGCTCTTTTCCCATTATTGTGAACAGCTGGGATCATAACAAAACTCGCCTTTATAGATTGCCTTTAATGTAGCAGAACATCATAAATCACTTCTCAGGAATGAAAATGAAATGAAATTTGACACTGGATCATGTAAGGAGAAGTAACAGTGACTGGTCAAAACAGGCTCAAATAGATTGGCTTCAAGAAGCATCCTAAAGGACGAATGAGAGCTTTCGAGAGCCTGGAGGACCATAAGGCCATAAGAAACACGCCTCTCGAGCCCATCCTGCCACTCAATAGGATCATTGCTGATCCCACACTCCTCAGGGCCACTCTCCTGCATTTTCCCCGTAATCCTGGACTCCCCGACTGATCAAGAACTTATTCAGCCTTAAATCTACACAAGGACTCTGCCCCCACAGGTCTCTGTGGCAATGAGTTCCAAAGACTCATAACCCTGTGGGAGAACATGGAGATTCAGAAATTCTTGGAATTTTTGAGCTTAGAGCCCAAATAGTGGAGAGCACAGCTGCCATTAATACAGCAGAGGTACCTGGGACTGTCCAATTGTAGGAGCCCAGAGATCTGCTGAAGCTCTTACCTGAGCCAGCTGATGGTCTGATTTCAGCAGCAAACTTACTATAATAGGATGGTGGGGAAACCTTAGCGAGACTTCCTGACAGCAATCTTTCATCTTGGTATTGGTCTAAGACTGGTATCATGAGGCGAAGGATGCCCACACAAAATCTTTGGCTGAAGATTGGCTCAGTAAATGCTGATTACATTGTAATTCAAGGCAAGTTACATGACATTGAGATAGATATATTATAGTCTCCATCAGACTCCACTTAAGAACACCACCAGCTGCAAGATCCCCTCCAACCCACTCACCATCCTAACTTGGAAATATATCACCGTTCCCTCACTGTTGCTGGGTCAAAACCCTGGAATTCCCTCCCTAAGGGCTTTGTGGGTCAATCTACAGCAGTTCAAGAAGGCAGCTCACCCACACCTTCTCAAGGACAACTAGGGATGGGCATTAAATATGGGCCCAGCCAGTGATGTCCACATCCTGCAAATGAATTGAAAAAAGTACACATTACCATGAGAACAACACATGAGAACTGGTAAGCCCTTCCGAGGAACAGTCCTTTCTCATCCTGAAGGGACTGATCATATCTCTTGATGTCAGTTAAGTCTTTCAGGTACTAAGTGTCTTATACTACAGCCTACACTGCAGCATTATGCACTGACTGGGGCTGTGCCCAATTAAGCCTGATGTTCTCAGTCAAAATCACAATAACTTTTAATAGAAAGTCAAAGGTGGTTTTCGTCTATGTAGCACAGATCCTACCTGTTTGCTATGAGTTATCACTAACCTCAGTCTGTGTCCCTTTTTCTCTCATTTGTAGGGTTATCCAGGAGATGACAGTGCTGAGATTGGACTCCCTGGGCCTCTAGGTGAACCAGTAGGTCATGCTTTTCATAGCAAATCATGTTAATACTGTAAAACTATGGTTCAGTGTTGTCTTTCTGTCTGTTCCTTCTCTGTACCTGAATTTCGTTGGAGAGATTTAACAGATTTGCCGATGTGGACACATGTCAGATTCCCAACAGTAGTAAGGTGTGGATTGCGACTCTGAGTCTATCAAATTCTTGGCCAGGCTCGTTGCTTGGGAAGGAGAGTTTCCAACAGAGCAGAGTGTGGTGGAGAGCAGAATTCAATCGAAGATGGACTCTCCCTGTCATTCACAGTAAAACTCTCGTATACTCGTGGGTTAGGCAATGGTGGGTGGTCTTGCACAGGGAAGAGAGATATTATCAATGGTTATGGACCCACAGAATGATACAGCACAGACAGAAGCCATTCAGTCTCTATGCCTGTGTCAGAAGTTTGAAAGAGCTCTCCTATTAATCCCTCAGCCCTATAATTCCATCTGTTTCACATTTCTATCCAATTCCATTCTGAAGGTTATTACTGAATCTGCTCCTACCACTCCTTTAGGCAAAGTATTCCAAATCAACATAACGTTCCCTTCATCTTCCTGCTCACAAATCTGTGCATCACATTGACCTTATATTCCCTCTGCCTTCACTGGGATGTATTTAAACTGGGTTTTGTTTTGCAATTTTTGTGGTATGTGTGAGCAAATAAATACAGGCAAAGGAGGAAAAAACAAAACTGACAAAAATGCGACTTTCTGAATCAGAGTGTGCTCAGTGAGATCAGAAAGTGCTGGAAAAGCTCAGCAGGTCAGGCAGTCTTTGTGGAGAGTGAGGAAAAGAGATCACATTTTAGGCTGGTTCTGTTCTGAGAGAATGACTTTGGTAACAATTACTTCTCAACTGAAAATAATTCAAAGGAACATTACACTCAGGGTTCAGTTGGAAATGATTGAGGTGTTCTCAATAATTGGCACCAATTGACTACAAAAATCTTTCAATAACCATCTTCTCAAGTAGATATTTTCTAATGAACTCATCCAGAGATGTTATTGCGCAGCTCTGGAGCAAGTGGGATTTGAACCTAGGTCTTGTGGCTCAGAGGTAGGGATACTATCACAAGGGCCCTTCACCTTGTCAATGTAGCACTGACTTTCAATCTTTTTGCATATTTCCTTTTAAGAGATTATAAAAGTGAACTTGGAGGCTACATATCAAGTTCACTTCATATAGGCTTATTTCCTCAAAACAAATCTATTAAAATGTTTTGCTTGCGGGATAACCTTATCAATTCACACCATTCCAACTTTTCTTCCTTTGTGAATGGATCATCTTCTTTCATCAAAGGTAGTGTTAATGAAAACCAGAGCTGGAGCAACACTGAGATCTCAGAAAGCCCTTATTTAGATGGGCTTCTTATTTCTTTTTTCTCTTGGATGGGGTGTGGGCATCACTGGAAAGGCCAGGATTTGCTGTCTATCCCTAATTGTCCATGAACTGAGGGGTTGCCTCAGCCATTTCAGAGGGCAGTTAAGAGTCAGCCACATTGCTGTGGGTCTAGAGTCAGACCAGGTACAGATGGCAGATTTCCTTCCCTAAAGGACCTGAGTGAATCAGATGAGCCTTTTTTGACAATCAATGATGGTTTTATGGTCACCATCGCAGAGACTTGCTTTCAATTGAATTTAAGTTCCACCATCTGCTGTGGTAGGATTTGAACCCATGCCCCAGCACATTCACCTGAATCTCTGGGTTACTAATCTTGGGACATTACCACTACCCCACCACGTCCCCTTTTACTAAACCTTTAATAGTGTGACTTGAGAACTTGCAGACGCATGGCAGGTATGTTTGAGTGGCTGTCTCTGATGATGACCAATCAGATTGTTTCACCATGACTACCCAAATGTCCCCAGATTTTGGGCAAATTTGGATCTTTGCTGAGTTAGTCATGAAATTGAAACAAAGGATTTTGCACAGACAATGGAATAGTACTTCCTTTCATACTAACTTATACTGATAGGGTGAGATGAAGAGAAGTAGCTCAAGTGGAGTGTAATGACCAACATAGATTGCTTGGTTAAACAGGCTGTTTTGTGCTGGAAACACTATATAATTTGGTACAGAGGGTCCCTGATTTACAAACATCTAACTTACAAACGCAATCGCAATTAAAGATTTAATTTTAACAATCTACCCTACAAATATTTCCGGTACTTATTACCAGCCCCTGTATACTATCCTGAATTGAGTTCTGATTTGCATCCAAATCAACTTGTGAACAGACTCCAGAATGAAATCTGCTCACAACCCAGGACTGCCTGTATATTTGCTTGCAGGATCC